ACGTGCGGCCGCCCCGCCCCGCCCGCCGAAAATGGAGACTCTGGTCAGGAGGGAAAAAACACGGGCTTCCAGCTGCCTTTTTCTCCGGTGAGAGGGGGCACAGAGCGCCCGACTCCGCGGGTGCCCGAGAGGGCATTCCGCTGAGACTGGGGCACCGCGCAGCCAGCCACGGCGACCCCCTCCCAAAGCACGGGACTAGCGAGCTGTCCGCGCCCAGTCGGAGAGTTAGTGACAGGCCTTAGCGCTCAGCAGGTTCTTCCGCAGCTACCAGTCCCCGTATTCAGTTGAGGCAAGGTGGGAGAAGCAGAGGCAGGCGAGCCAAAGGCACAGATTGGATTGCTGCTCCCTGGCAGCACATGTGAAACAAGCCCCCTCTGCAATAGGTCTGAGGAGGGGCTAGAAGAGTGAACAGGATCAAGTATAAATCTGATACCACTCTAGGAAGTCTATAATTGATTATAGTGTTAAGTCTGGAAACCCTGGAACCAAATCCTCATCAGCTCCATGCTCCAGTTTATCAAGGCACTGTGCAAGCTGTGGGTTGTGCTTGTTAGTATTTGTATTAAGAGTGTCTTAAGGCAACCACGTAAAGTTAACATCTCACTAATCAAAATAATTTTGCTTTAAACAGCAGCAGATGGGCTGAAAATACAGCAGGTTTGAAGTGGAGAGGCTGAAGACAGACATCTTCAGTTGATTTGAGTTTCTTCCTGTAACTCATGAAGATACATTCCAGACTACAAAAAAGAAAACAGTTGGAAAAGGGACATGTCTCCTTCAGCCCTCCACCATAACAATCCTGTATTTTAAGAATTTAAGATACTAGAGATAGGTAGAGAGGGATTGATGAGCTTCCCAAGTTGTTTTTCCTAGCTTTAGTTTTCCTTTGTGCTCGCACCAGTACTTCTCACCTGAGATCACATCTGTTGCTAATTATTAGTGTTTGTTTCAGTATTGCAGCACCACTTGATAGTTCTTGGGAGGATAAAGTTTAAGGGCTACATTAGAAATTGAAACAAAGAAGGTGAGTTGTACACTCCCTGGCTTGCTGGTCCAACTCAATGTCAGTACCATTTCACCCAACAGCAGTACAGTCTCGACTTCTTGAAAAAAGCCCACATATTGTAGCAAGTGCATTTGGACCTGCCATGTTGAAAAAGACTGACTAGCAACATTAAGAAACTGGGACAAATGGAAATATAGACAAGGGAGGTATATGGTATTTCTCTTTATACTTCTGCAATATGCAGCTATAAAAAATTTGTTCATGGTTTGTAAATCCTTGGGAATATCAGTTTTACCTCTCTTCCAACCCATGTTGCACAGGCGTTCAAGATTCAGCTGTTAGAGCTCACTCAGCAGTGTGTCTACCACTCACTGTGCAGTCAACTAAGCAATAGTTTAAGCAGTCACTGCTATTTCAAGTTAATGTTGTTATATATACACTTTCAATTTGAGGACCCAGGCTTTACTAAACTGTATCAGTCAGTGAATTAATCCCTTCCACTGCAACTCTTCAGAGAAATCCCCATTTCAGTGAAACTTACCAATGATGATGATGATGATAATGAGAACAACAGCTATCAATATTGCCCACATCTGTGAAAAAAACCACAACACACTTACTACAAGACTATGCAGCAGCATTTACAGGCTTTTAGGGGTACTGGGGGCAAGGGGGGAAGCAGCCATTGCAAGGTACTCTTGCACTGTGTGCTAGATTAACAAGGTACTTGTTAACTTGTTAAGAACTTGTGCAGCAAGCTCATCTTGATTGACACTCAGAAATGGTAGGTTGTGCACACTGGCAACTGAAGTAGACCAAGAAGCTCCCTTCCGTTATGTCTCTATGCAAAGCCTGTCTCAGGTGACTATACCAACAGGAGTAAGAAGAATCCTATTAAACACCTCTTCTACTCCTATCCTACACCACATTTTCCACTTTGTTGCTCAAAGAAGGTTCCAACATTTGCCAGGAGCTGCGGAAGACTGAGCGAGCTCCTTCGGCTTTGCAATGCTTCCTTGCAGGTTAGCTCCACCGATATATTTTTGGTCTTTTCCCTCTTGTTCCCCAAAGCCTCAGATTGCAATAATATTTCCCTTTGGCCATTTCCATCTTAGACAAGGTCTTGTGTCAAGGAGCAGGGCTGGTAATCCAGACATTGATCACTGCGCACAAGCTCTGTGGTATATGTTTTAAAACTAGCTGCTATAACTTAACATTGGTCGAGTCATTTTTACTTCTGCTTTCTGAGATACTGATTGTAATACTGAGTAGTTCAAGTATTCAAGCCACAGTTACCTTACAGTTCTTCCACCAATACTTTCTTTTCAGTTTGGCTGCACTGGTCTCAAACTGGGAAGCTCCTGCTTGCAGCGCATCAGCACGGTCATCCAACTCTGACAGCTTCTGATCTCGTTCCAATACCTTGTCCACATTCACCCTCATGATGTCAACCACCTACATCAATTTAACACTTACAGTAAGTACATCAACTGTATCACCCATTGGAGAGATTAATTGCAGACAACAGATCCCAATACCTGATATTTTTGATATTTTTAATGTTCTCCTAAGGAGTAGGAGCAATTGCCTTTTAGGAAATCTAATCGCGAGCTTCAGTGAAAATGTGCATTTCACATGCAGCTGGAAGTTCCTAATACCTACTTTCAAACGTCAGTACTGCAGAAAAGTTCTCTAAGTTGTGCTGGCATTCCCTGAAACCTGGGAAATTATTTACGACCTACTTCAGAAGGAGTTGAGGCATTTTACCATGACTGACAAAATATTTTTGACATGCAATTCATTTTAAGTGCTATCCTGTTCAAGCAGATAAAGCTGCTCTTAACCGTTAACGGCTTTTGGATTCCTCAGAAATTTGGGCATGTCTTATTTGGAGACGATCAGCTGCCTTTGCCACCGAGGAAAGAAAAGTTTGTTCTCTGTAAGAACAAAGGGTACTATTTTAACTTACGCCCAATCCTCAGACATAGAGTTTGCAGCTAACCTTTAGACGCTGGCAACTTCTCCCCACTCCGGCAGAATGGAAGTTTTTTGACATGCTGCCACCCCTCACCCTCCCCTTTTTTTTGTTTTTTGTTTTAAACCTTTTCAAGACCCAAAGTGATACAAGTATAATAAGGAAAGCTGAATTATACTAGGCTTCCCTTTCACATAAAGGAATAATAACTGCTGCGGCCAAAGCTTATCTATTTTGCTTATCAGGTTTTCTGAAAGAGACAGAATTACACTGCTATCAGACTAGACCTTTACCTCATCTACTTGGTGTTGTGTTTGTTGAAGACGACGATTACTGCCAGCAGCAACATTTGAGCTTCCAGGGCCGCTTGCTGACCTGCATTAAGGAAAGCAATCATTATTTTATAATCACTTTTTATAATTTTCTTCAAGTTGATAAGCTTAAGTTTAGAAATTATCTGCTGTTCCTGAAAACAGGGACCTTGGATCCTTGGAAGAAATATGGGGCAGTTTCCTTTCCCATGGGAGAAATGAGGTTTTAACCACTGACCTTGGGTATAAATCAAGCTGTGCCCTAAAACCTCCTGCCAGTGAATTAATTGCTTGAAGTGCTAAAAGACAGCTGTGGCTGGCTAATAATGCAACTTGTAATAAGGCATACAGTGACTTCTACAATGGCTCATAGGGCTCAAACATTCAAGAGCTTGGGTTCAGGGGTGTTTTCTTCAGAAAGAATGCAAATACTAAGCTTCAAGACTCAGCAGCTTTCCAAAAATGAAATACAGAAACTTAATGCTTCTTCTAACTACAC